TTTGTATGGACTTAAACTGGTGTGCTTTTCTTAAAGAACAATATAAGCAACATATAGATTCTCCAATACCAACAACCACAATTTTTAAAGCTTTTACACCATTATATTCCATATAGCTTCTAAGGGAGGGCCTCACCATGAGAACCACTTAATGCTTATTCAATACATCGAAGAATGAGCAAGAAGAATGAGAACTATCAACCAGCTGCCACACTTCTAAGGCCAGCCTCATTCTGTAAGACTCCAGAGTCCATCTGCAGGCCAAAGGCGGCTCACAAGACCCGGGACACTCCAGACTTGATTCAGGTCCTGCAGCAATAGCAGAGGCCCCGAGTGCCGGGATCATATTGGCTCAGATTGCTCCTGTGTTCAGACTGTTGGACTCGCCATCCACTCCCCTAAGTAACCACCCTCCAAGTCCTGTTCCACACTGATACTTACTTGAACTATTTCTCAGTCATGCATCAACATGATTCTGATGTCCACCCCTTCTTTTCTGGACCAATTCACAACGCACTGGGACTGCCTGAGTGTTTTCGACAATATCGGTATCACTGCAAGAAAATATTGCAAAAAGAGATGACAGAAGTGATATCGGTATCCTGAGTGAGATCAGACACACTGAGTTTGAAGAACATTCCAGAAGAGAGATCCAATAGGCCATTGGAAGTACAGAGCAGGAGACTGGGAACACATGTTGGGGGATTCTTGGCATTGGGGGTATTTGTAGCTGGGGAGGCCCAGGAAGGAATGTGAAAACGATTTGTGTCAAAGTCCTGTCTATAATGTCCACTGTTGTTTTAGCATCACCATTTTTAATGAGCCCAAGAAAGAACTTAGGAGGTGAGAAAAGGAAAAAGGAGCCAAAAGCTTTCAGAGAAGGAAGAGGTGAGAAGCGGGCAGAACCAAGTATTAATTCTGGAAGCACCAGCAGAGAGCGTGCAGCGGTGGGGCAAAGTGCTCAGAGCCTGGGAGCAGCGGCCAGGCCAGGCCCAGGTCTGGTTCCCAGCTGTGTTACCCGCGGCCTTCCTTTCCTCATTTCCTCTGGGAGGTGGCGGTAATCACACCTCCCTCGGAACTGCTGTGGATGAGACAACAGGGTGGGAGCAAGTGCTTTGTAAAGTGCTGCCGGTTTAGAGTTCTGTTGTCAGTGGGGGTGGACAGCGAAGGCAGGGGAATCGCGGAGGAGGAGCAGAGGCCAGAAGGAGAGGATCGGGCACCTGGGGGTGGGGCGGGGCAGCACAGCAGAGAGGGTGGAGGGTTGCCATAGGGTTCCAGGCCCCAGGAGCCTGTGCTCCCTGGGAGGTGCTCTCCAGCGAAGTCTGGACACCCAGCTGGAGGCCCGGCTCTATCTACTTACTGGCCGTGTGGTCATGGCCAAGAGCTCCTGATCGGTGGCTATCAAGCCCTGGAATCCCTTGCATACATTCATTCACAAGTACTGACCAGTTGCCTCTGATTCTACTGGCAGGGGAGCTGGGCCAGGAAACGGTGCAGCTTCGAGAAAGAACCACTGTTCAAATCAACCCTGTGCTGTGCTCGGGCCTTTTCTTCTGTCAGTTTGTCCCACTGACCACAAGATGGTGCCCTCTCTCTGCAAAATCTCTGATGTTCACCAAACAGGAAACAACACATTTTCTCTATAACCCTGAAAGAATGGATTTGAATTTAACAATCTGCATAGCATTTCATTAAGCCAGAATTCAGTATCGCCGGTGTCCAGCCATTTAATGTGAGTGTTCACTCTAGGAACCTAACTGGGTTGGGATGTGTCTATTCTTTTGCATTCCTCAGGGGCTCTAACGAGCAGCAGAGCAGGCCCTCGCTGTGACTTATCATCACCTTTAGTATCAACAACAACCAGCATTCATTCAGTCCTTTACCAGTTGCAAAGTGCTTTCCACCAACTGTCCTCAGAATAACTCCATGAAATGGCTATTGTTCTCATTTATAGATGAGAAGCAGCTCAGAGCACTCGTTCAAGGGCACAAGGCAAAAGTTGGCAGAACCAGACTGTGAACCCTTTTCCCCTACTGCACTTGGATGAGAAGGGCAGGCACCCTCGGAGAGGCCGGCAGTGGTCAACCGCTGGGGATCTGCGAGTGCAGCCCCGAGAGGGGAAACTCCTCAGGACCACCACTGGATGGCTTCCAAAGCGAGCAGGAAAGATGAACAGGTGCCCTCGGGGAGTGTCACACCGTCGGAGACGGCAGGTCAGTGGACAGGTTGGACTGGGCTGAGTGGCCAGCTAAGGTAACACGTGGGAGGCTTCTAGTGCAAAGGTGTATACAGTCGGCAGTCACTCAGCAAGAGGGCAGATCTTCATTATTTTAATTTCCTGTTCCAGGAAAATGAACTGCTGTGCCAGTGGGAAAAAATTGAATGTTAATTCTGCCTTAAGAAAGAGTTGCACACTCATCTCCAAAGGAGATTCTTTTCTATACCAGCCAGTGATACCTTATGAGGTTAGTGGATCTGATAAAGACCATTTATTTACAAGATCGCCTACAGACTTGCCGCCATGCGGATTCCCACAGTCAGTCCGGAACCCGGGAGTCAGGGCCCCCCATCCCTCAGGGTGTCTGCATCCCAGGTGAAGGGGCTGCAAGCATAGGTTTGAGTACTTGGAGCAGGGAGACAGGCGTCAGGACAGCCGCAGGTACACGGAAAGCGTGAGACGTGCATATTTTGATCACTTTATTATCGACTGTTGTAGCCGCCTTCTATGCCTCCACTTCCCCGTCTGTAGAGAGGTGGTAACAGTATGTCTCACAGGATGATTGTAAGGATCAGTTTATTGGTAAAGACCTCAGGCCCCACGCCCAACACGCAGGAAGCACTGTGTTTCCTCAATGTTAAATACATGGGCATGAGCATATCCATTCATATATTTTACAGGTGAAATTTGAATTTTTTCCAAAATTCCAAATAATTAAAAAATTGTTATTTGTACACTTGTAGATACAGGAAATATACTTCACAAAGATTAAGGTATTGCCTTATGATGAAAAACTGAAACCCCGCTGAAAATGCGCCTGTTTGATTAGAATGGTGCCGTACACATCACCTTTGGGGCCTCATGACTGTGCTTTCCCTTCCTTACCGCTGATGGCAGACAAGCCCGTCCACACCCGTCAACACGCAAACACAGGCAGCAGTGCAGGTTTTTATTTGTTTTTAATTTATTTTCCTTTTTTTTGTTTTTAGTCAATATGTATGTCTATAGAAATAAAGTGTGATGCAGCAGTCAGATTTTTCTTTCTCTTTGTTAAAGTTTTCCATTTTCTCCAGGCGATTTCTTCTAGGTTTGGAAATCAGTGTTCATTTCAGAGGGCACCGTTGGCATTTTCTCGACTATAAGGCCTTCGCCCGGGTTTCTGGGTGAGGGGCTGCTCCATAGCGGTACTCAGCTCAGACCTCCATCTTCAAGTATAAATTTAAAGCCTTTACACACACAAAGTGTTTGCTCTGAGAGATTTCGTGGGTCCCTGGAGAACGACTGGAACGCCAAGAGTGTAACGAGGCAGGACTTGAAGAAAAACACAAGCATCGAACATGCTTTTCAATCTAGGGGTCATTTTTTTTCACAGCCCATTTCGGCATTAATTTTCTTTTAGTAGAGCCACTGTGTTGTTTCCTAATAATGGCCACTAGAGACTTCTGTGCGTTTTTCTTCTGTGTGCAGGCTGTTTTGAGGAGATGGGGGTAAGGATGTTTCACTTCCTGCTACCTCCTCTGCCGTCCTGGTACCTGGGCCAACACACCCAACCCGAGAGCTTCTCCACCTCCCTGCAGAAACTAGCTCAGAAAGCCCTGCCACTGCGGCCTAGCCCCCTCCCCCTTCCCCCCACCCCCAGCCCAGGAGCTGGTGGGAGACCTAGGGGCTGGAACAGAAGCAGGGATGTGACCCAGGCACTCGGGTGGAACCTAAACTCCAGTTTTACCCTACAGACACAAAGTTTTAAAAGAAGTTTAAGTTCTTTAGCACCAAAATTATGGAGCAGCCACACTGAGAATACCGTGGCCTTCTGTGCATTGAGCCAGGACCCTAACCAACATCACATGATGGTTTCTATGGAAACATAACATTCTAATTCTAAACCCCTGATCTGGAATTAACTTTTGCCACAGAACTATTTCACATACACCCAACACACTCAGGGACGGTTCCTGCTTGCATCATTCAGGCTGTCCATCTGTCCATCCACTGTCTTTTTATGAAGGTACAGCATAACTGCCACAGAGATATGAAAGGCAAAAAGCTAAGATTGAAAAAATAAAGTTAAACATTTTATGTCTGTTGCATTCAAAGCAGTGGTTCTGTTCCAAACTCATCTTCACTGAGTTTTAAAAAATAAGTATTAAAAATGTCTTCTTTTTTACAGGGGTGGTGTGGTATAATGGTATAAAACCCAGAACAAGTTTTGTAAACTGTGACTCTCAGGTGAAACTATTTAACTTCCCCAAGCCTTGGTTTCCTTATAGATAAACAGAAATTATTGTACTGATTCCCTACAATTAATTTTTAGCTGGGAGCATGTAAATCTCCAGCAATAGATTTGGCAATTATTTCTCATCCTTTCTCCCTCTTAATCTATTTAATCTCTTTTTGAACTCACTGCTTCAAGTCAATAAAAAATTTTAAACCACATTTAAGTTTCAGAAGCTGTGATTTAAACTTTTTTCTATACTCGGATTCCCTCTCTATCTGCTTGATTTAGGTCAATATCCAAAACATACTAATGTGAAAAGATTATTTACTTACAAATTAAGTAGGTCCAGAGAGCCTCCTTATGTTGATGATTGTGTTGATGCTCTCTTATCTGAGCAGATTCACCTGTGCCTACCTCCAAAGAATATTTGATTTTCACAAGACTTTGTGGATTTCACTTTTTTCCCCCTTGAACAGAGATTTAGACTTTCCTAACAGGTTCAACCAAGATTCTTTCTGTAACAACAGTTACCCAAGTCAGATTGTACTTGAATGAATCAGAGTGACCTCAGTGAAGGACAAACTGGGCTTTATTTAAGTAGATGCAGACAGGTGTCTGTGTCCAGGCGGAAGCGGAGGCAAGGGCAGGGAGCGGCATTGTGCAAGCAGAGGAAGGGCGCACGAGGAGTGGGCGGGGGCGGCTGTCCCGTGGGGTCCTGCTCCCTCCCTCTGCTGCTGGGTGTGTCCAGGACCCTGCTTCCTCTGACGCTCTCACTGGTCCCCATTCCTGGCACCTGTCCTCTTACTCTCAGAGTTGGACCTGCCTGTTGGTTGGAAGGATTCCGGTGTCACCATCCTGTGTTTTCAGGCAATGCTGTGTCCACTGCAGATCATGCCCTGCCTGCCACGCTTGACCTCAGGGTGAAAAATATACTCTCTGTTGGGAGAAAACCTGAAGACCTGGGACATTTAGCACAATGTACAGCCCCCTCCCCAAATCACATGTATAAGCCAATATTCTAAAATGTTATTCCCTGTAGTTTATAGCAGGATCAGAATGCTTTCTTTGCTTTGAATTGAAAGACAGTGTTTTTTCCCTCCTCTCAGAAAAGATGTGTTTCTCTCATGTGGCAACAATACTGCCAACATGCTAGATGTCCAGACACCTGGCATTTCCTGTGCGTGTGCATTCAGGGTCCATTCAGGTGGCTCCATTTGAAGCCAAATGTCCGGTCCTACATTCATCTTTGGGAGTGCTGGTTTTATTTTATTTTGGGTGCAGAAATAAAGCTAAATAAACAGGCAAAAAGTAGACCTATAGAAATGGCTTTAACTTATTAATTAACTACATCTTTGACAGAAATTTTAAATAAAAATGGTCCAGAGGACAAAATGCATTATTAATGATTAGAAAATGATTCTTTCAAGTCCCATAATAGAGAGTTCTCCCTGCAGTAATCACTTGTCCAGTGTTTCATTCATGCAAAAGTGATTTTTACTTCTTGCTTCTGTCCCCTTCATTCCAGTACTGTTCAGTCTGCATTTCTGTGAGTCGGGAGATCGTGCGCTGAAATGCAAAGGCTTCCTCTTCTCCGGTAAACATGGAGAGACCTTCTGCTGTGCCCTAGTGACCAAAACGATAACCCAGCATCAGTTAAACCACCACCGGGTAGAAAAGAATGCCTTTCTCCAAAAGTACATGCCAAAAATAAGTAACAGCAAACAGCCCCAGTTCTGGCAAATTAGACAGAGGCTGACATGCGTCCCCAAAGCCTGACAGACAGGGCTGCGCTTGCTCAGAAACAGGGACGACGCAGTTCCTCAAGAGCATCCTTTCAAACTGTCCGCAACACCACTTGGATGGAAGCATTGCTCTTGGAGAAATCAGCGTTTCAAAAGACGACAGCACATGGGTTTATGAGCAGCTATTTATTTCTACATGTAGGTATAAGTAATCACATTTTCAAAGTTCTCTTTGTAAAGAGTTACTGGTCTAATTTCCCCAAACTTCTGAGAATACATAATTTCTCCTCAGGTCAATAAAGAACTGCTTCCTCATTCCAAATCGCCTTTGCCTCTGGGGTTGGAAGAATGAGGGACCCCTCTCATTTGGGAGGTGAGTGTTTATGGATAGTTTTTTAAGTTTTGACTAATATTTCTTTATTCAATTTATTGGGGCGACACTGGTTGTGACCATCATATACATTTCAGGTGCTCCGCTTTCCAACGGCTGTGCACTCCACCACGTGTTTCACACCCGCAGTCTAGTCTCCTTCTGACACCACATTTCTGACCCTCCTCACCTTCTTCCTCCTCCTCCTCCCAGAACCACACTGTCATCTATATCTGTGAGCTTGTTTTCTGTTTATTGATTTGTTGCTTTAGTTTTATATCCCATACATGAGTGAAATCATATGGCTCTTGTCCTTTTCTGTCTGACTTATTTCACTCGATATAACACTCTCCAGACCCATCCATAATGTCACATATGGCAATGCTTCAACTTTTTTATGGCTCAGTAGTATTCCACTGTATAAATGTGCCACATTTTCTTTATCCAGTTGTCCACTGAAGGACACTTAGGTTGTTTGCATGTCTTACCTATTTGTGAATAATGCTGCAAGGAACAAGGGGTATATATATATCTTTATGAATAAGTGTTTTCAACTTTTGGGGCTAGATACCCAGATGAGAGATTATTGAGCCATATGATACCTCTATTCTTAATTTTTTGAGGAACCTCTCTAGTGTATTCCATTTGGGCCACACCAATTTACGTTCCCACCAGCGGTGTGTAAGGGTTCCCTTCTCTCCACATCCATTCTAATCCTTGTTATCTCCTGTCTTATTGATAATAGCCATTCCGACAGATATGAAGTGGTATTTCATTGCGGTTTTGATTTGCATTTCCATTATAACAAGTGGCATTGAGCATCTTTTCATCTATCTGTGGCCATTTGTATGTCTTCCTTAGAAACTATCTGTTCCAAGTCCTCTGCTCATTTTTTAATCAAATTGCTTTTTTTTGGTTAAGTTATATAAGTTCTTCATACAGTTTTACTTTTATTGCCTCATGGGAGGTATCATGTACAAATATCTTCTCCCAAGGGTTTGGCTGCCTTTTTGTTTTGTTGATGGTTTCTTTTGCTGTGTAGAAGCTTTTTAGTTTGATGTAGTCCCATTCATTTTTTTTTATTTTACTTATGTTGCCTTTGGGGTCAAGTTCACCAAAACCTCTCTGAGACCAAGGTCCATCAGTTTACTGCCTATGTTTTCTTCTATGTAGTTTATTGTTTTAGGTCTTATATTCAAGTCTTTAATCCATTTTGACTTAATGTTTGTGGATGGTGTCAAAAAGCACTGACTAATATTTCAGTTGTTTACAGTTGAGAAATACACCCTGTAATGCTTATTTATATTTATACATAAGAAAATGCAGTCACTTTTGGTTGATCTGGAATAAATCACCAAACCCCAAATACCAGGAGAACTGGCTCAGCACTGGCTGATTCCCTCTGGGGTGGCCAAAGGTCTGGCACCCACAGGGTCCCCCTATGTGTTTATGGAAGGGGGTTGGGAGAAAAATCATGGGTTTCTTTTTAAGCCAAGGGCCTTGCTAAGCACTCCATGGTCTTGGGATAGCTGGTCCACACGCTTGGACACTATACTGTGTGCTCTACAAACCCCTCAGACATGCAGAAAAGGCGGTGTGGTGTGTCCGGTGAACCAGACACAGGTGGCCGGGTGTCCAGCTCTGGGCTGTCATCAGTGAGTGCTACGACCACATGCCCATTAGTCACTAATCTGTACTTTGTTTCTGTCAAAAGCAAAAATGATTACTGAGACTGTAATTCTCTATATGTAGTGATACTGAGCGTAAGTGCTATGCCAGCTTAAGAAGAAAGCAGCGAATCAACAGTTAAACATATACTACATTCCTTTTTCAAAATGTAGCCATGTATCAAACCAAAAACAATTTAGCTGTTTTATAATAAAACAAGATCATGTTAATATCAACTACCTGGCTCAGCCCCAAATCATCCATCAGTATTCTGCTTTGCTCCAACTCACTGTCATGCTGCTGATGCAGAAATAAGCTGGATAAAGGAGCCGACGCGGAGCAAATTATGCGCACCTGAAACAGAGGAACATGATGGTGTTACTCCTCACACTTCATAAGTTGAAGGCAAGAACGAATCTCTCACAAAACAAAATCTTGTTTGTCATAACATGGAGCTTAGATTCTGCTTTTAAAACGTCCATATTTTTTCTAGTAGTCTGTATCTGTTTAAAGCGATACTTTTAAACTGCACAGTACTTTTCAAACTATCTCCGTATACCATCACACGAAGTAGGGAGCAAAGTTTCACTGGGCAGCTTCAGGCCTGGAGAGGTCTCAGCTTGCGAAGCCAGACCCGATCTTCCAGCTCTAAGTCCCACGGTCGTTCCATCACACCTGGGGCTCACGTGCACACCTGGCTGTTGGGGGCCCGTCTCTGGGTGCATCGGAGATGCTCTCCAGGTGCACTGTGCGCAGGCCACCACCTCCTGGGTGGGGGACTGCTAAGTTCAAGGCGCTGCCTCTCTAATTATACCCCAAGTTTCCAGAACCTACACTGATATCAATATCCTGCCGACACTCTTCAAAAAGACTACGTTTTCCATTAATATTTCTTGATTACACAAGTGTTTGAGTGAGTGGGCATATGTGATAATCATATGTTGGAAAGAGTTTTTCTGTCTTTATAAATTTTATGTCCACTAGTTTAAATACAAGATAGACCTTCCTTGGTATTTAAAGAGTCTTGAATTTATTTTTAGGATTCACAGCTATCATTTTAAAATCATTATTTAAATAAATATGCCAATAGTTTAAAACAATAAATTGACATTTGGGACTAGTTTTTCCATATCCAAATGGCCTTCCATCTCCTTTTATAAATTCTTTTAATCAAAATGACACTTTCTTCATTATTTAGATGGGAACACCCTTATTCACAAATTTCTATGACTACATTCTAGAATAATGTCTATTTAATGCAAATTTCTAAAATAAGATAATTTTGACTACTCTAAGTGTGTGATTAAGTTAACATAAATGTTAGGAGAGTCCATCATATTGCCAGATAAATCTTTTATTCTCTAATTAGGAGGTGAAACAGTGGGGGGTGAGATAGGATTACGGGGTGGAGATCATAAACTTTCTTTAAGTTATTCCTAGCTGAGAGATTTTTAAAAAATAAGAATGCATTAATTCTACACTCTAAGAACCACTCACTAATGGCCCTATTCCACTTTCTTCCCGGAGCATCATCCTTCTAAAAACAAGAGTGCCGCCTCCAGGCTCAACCCATGTATTCCACTCCCACCCCTGCAATTATTTCCATATTTCCGAGCAGAGTCTCTGGGTGAGTGACCCCGGAGACCACTAAGCAGCGATGACTCTTGATCCCCCAGCTCTGGAGCTCTCGGCTTCCGGCCTCTCCTGACTGCTGACCCCAGCGTGCTGGCCCCAAGGAGTGCTTGGCAGGCCCCGCAGCCTTGCCCCGGAGCCCTGCTGGCTGTCCTTTGGGCTCCGGCCCAGCTCAGGGGCTTTGCTGCAAACTCCCCAACCTGGTGACGCTTGTCACCCTGGATTAAAGTTCAGCCACCACTTCTTAGCATCGTAAGATGCTCTTAAGGAGCCTGTGAATATGCAGATTCCTTCCGGGCCCCACCCTGGGTCCTCATGTGCCAGGAGGTGTAGGCTCTGGAATCCAGATCCTAAGTAGCCCAGCAGATTCCGATGCAGGTGTTTCTCAGGAGGACTTCCCGGTGTCTCCCCGAAACCGAAAATCAGTCGGCTCTCCCCCTAGAGAGCTCTCAAGGTGCCATCTGTCCAAGAGACCGTCCCACAGTGGTGACTTCACGTTTAGGTCTGTGGACATTTGAATAAGGTGTCTCTGACCCTAAATTATAAATTCCATGATGGCAGGCACTCCATCTGGCTTTGCTTGACATTGAACTTCTAGCACTTAGCACTGGGCTTGGTATGACAGAGACTGCTAAGGAACAGATAAATGAAACATTAAAGTCTCCCCTCTGCCTCCCAGAAGACTCTGGCACTTCCATCCTCCCACCAAAGTCCCTTCAGTTTTAAAATCAGTGCTCTATCTACTTCTGTGTAACAGTAAAGTGATAGTTAAACTAACTCTAGTTTGACGTTGTACTTACACTTTCACCGGACACACACATCTGCAGACATGTACTACCAACTGTCGCTCACTTTCTCTGAAAGCTCACTACATGCCACGTGACGTTCTAAGTGCTTTACATCTTCATTTGATCCTCACAACAGCCATGTGATGTAAGTTCCACTGTTACCGACTTTTTCTACAGAGGGCAACAGAATCTCTAGAGGTTAAGCTGGTCTTCAAGGTAGACAGCCCAGCCCCAGGGCCCACTCCTTAACCACAAGGCAACACTGGGTCTCATGAAGGGACAATGGCTTGGCATTTCAGGCTAAAACGCGTGGCTGAAACACCCAACAAGACAGAACAGTGCTAGTTACTAGGGTTTCTGGACCACAGGGAGACAGAGAATACCGAGGTGGTTCTTTAGACATTCACTCATTTGTTCATTCATTATTTTATCAGTTCTATCAGTTACTCACACAACAAATAATTTATTGAGCGCTCAGTTCAGGCAAGGCATTGTGTTGTAATCATCACAGAGCACATGACGTGACCAGCTGAGTGGTGGAATCACTGATATAGCAGAGGCTCTGATGATGGGAGTTTAATGATAACACTACTGCTGGTCCTACTGGTACTGTTACTACTAGCACTTACACAGCACTCGGCTTGTGCCAAGCACTCTTTTAAAGGCTTTACATGGATTCACTTATTTTTGTCCTCACAACTCTCTGAAGTGAAAATGTTATCACCCTGATTTACAGATGAGGGAACTGAGGCACAAAGCCATCTGGGGGGTAGACCAGGACTCCAGCCCAGAGGTCTGGCTCCACAGCCCAAAATGTGCAGGTCTGAGAAGAGGCACATTACATCCTTACCTTGAAATCATAAAAGTTATCAATGAGAGTTATGAATCTTCGAGCCTCAGTCCTTTTTGCCATTGTAAATTGTGGAATGTTTCGCAAAAACACTGTGTCAAAATTCTTTGATAGTTCCAAATAGTCACTGGCTCCAAGTGGCTGTAATTAAAATGAAGTAAGAGACAGAAAATTAAAATAAGCCAATCCTGGTTGCTGTTGGATTAGCTTCATTAGAAAACACCTCTTTTTTTTTGTCGTGATGTGACCCAGGTGGTAGCTTTGGGGCAACTCGACCAAACAGGGCAGTCTTTCCAGAACAGGCAGAGGACAGCGCTCCCTCAGGGGCAGCAGAGGAGACAAGCATAGGGTGGGAGAGAAAGGGTATCTCTAGCCACCTCAGTTGGTAACTTGTGGGCTCCCACCCTAAATCCAGTCTTCACTCTTTTTATTTATATGACATAACTTTAAACATGTCCTAACAAATCCCTCCGGGGCTCAACCACAAACAGCCACTGTTATTAAATAGAGCCACCTTATAATGACATGCTGAATACTATGTCACCATTTTGAAACAACGCTATGCTCCATTATGAAACTCATCAGAAAATACTCCCATGTAAGCTGAGGTACGATTTTTCAGGGGTAATGTAGGAGACACTGGTAACCTCTATAGCAGAGAACAGAGGGTTTTAATGACCAGAAGCAGACCGACACCTCAGAGTGATGCGGTACCGCATGCTGTCACCTCTTGATTCGAGGGGGTTACAGGGCTCAAGGTCTGCAAAATTATTCACAGAGATGCCACCTACAGATGCAAAGTGCTTGTTCCTGAAACATGAGTTTAACCCACAAAAATTATGAAACCATCTGCACGCATGCCCTCTGGGGTTAGGAACAAGCCCGGGAAACACCATCCCCTCGCTGTGTGGGGGGCACCAGAGCCTAAATGGCCAGATCTCCTGGGAGGTCTCTCAGAAAGCTCCTGGCTCCTCCTGACCCATCCTGGTGCTGGGGCGCAGGCACTAAGCCTCCTCAGTTTCTGGCAGAATCCATCAGTGCTTTCTCGCCCAGTCCAGAAATGTTTCCACACTTGGGAAGCCATTAGCATGAAAACTTCTTTCAGAAATGCAGACAGGTACAGCTTCCTGGGAGAATGAGGGAGCTGTGAGGGGACCATCATTCCCACCTTAGGACCCATTCGTTTAAGCCCACACCTACCCTAACAACCCGTTGAAAACGGTTACCCTGAGAAAGAAGACTTCTCATGGAGGTCTGGGAGGTAAGAGTAAACCTGAGAATCAAGTTCTGGAGAAGTGGTTCCCTCAAGAGACAGCAGTTCTGAGGAGGAGGCTGCAATTTGGAGACCTGGGACAAAGAGGCAGAGAACCAGAGAGCGCCCCAAGAATCAACTGACTCCTCTGGAAGTCTGCTCAGGGATCTAACCCATCTCCATTCACCAACCAGATACCAAATGGGGGAAGAAGGAGATAACCTTGCCTTTCCCATCTCCCTCCCTTGCTGGAGCACTTTTACCTCCAGACCCAGTGCCTGACCTTGGCTGGCCCTCCCCGGCTCGCCTCAGCCACAGTGTCTTGAGAGGGTGTCTGTGTGTGTGTGTGGTTGGTTTAAGCTTGGCTCTCACACAAGGAAACCTTGCTGCCAAACCTGATATGGCCCAGGAATGTGTGTTAACGGAGTAGCTAGGAACGAGGGCTCGACACTGCTTGGATTTGAATCCTCAGTCTGTTACTTACAAACTATGTGCTTTTGGCAAGTTATGCAATCTTTCTGATCCTTGGTATTCCCATCAGTAATATGGGAATTTGACTCCTATCCCACAGGAGTTTAAATGAAATCATGCATGTAAAGCATTTAACACAGCACCTGAGGCATACATTGACAACCAGACCACTTTGGCTGCTGTGAACTTTTACTATTTTGAGCTTAAAAGATTAGGTTCAGTACAAATGAACTGAGGATGTAAAGAAGTGTCATTTCCTATGGGACCAGTTAGTGCTGCTCCACCACCTTCAACCCTCAGTCAGCCTCTGTGCATCTCCCCATCCTCAGAGTCACGGCCAGGACCAGATGGGAATGTGCAATCCCCACGCAGTGAAGGCGATCAGGGAACACAGTGCTGTCGTGCCGAAGGGGGGGGGAACCCACAATGCACCTCCCGTGCTGAGGGTGGCACACGCTACTTTTTTGAGATGAGTTAGAATTTAGTGTCTCATCTTCTGTAAATAAGAAGAAAATATACGTAAAAACTGTGAAACCTCATCTTCAGTATGTAGTTACGTATAATTAAGCTCACTCTTTATGCATGGACGTGATTTCTATCAGTGTAACTACATGCCCAAAGAGAATCATCATCAGAAGTGCACTGAAGTGCCGAGGGCAACTGAAAATTGGAATTTTGCCCACTCAGCTATTTTTTACAAATTATATACTTTGACAGTAGGTTCTGCATTTGCCATTACATTAGCAAATATCCTATTCTTTCATATCCCTAACAAAATTATGTGCTCAGTCACAAAAGAAAAACTGAGCTTAATATAGTTATCTGTCTCCTCCAGAAACGATGGTCACTGGGGAGAACGAGGAGTCAGGGCCCAACGGACACAGAGTTCTAGTCTGAGATGATGGGAAGCTGCAGACAGACACTGATGAGGACTGCACAACAGTGTGATGTACTTAATGCCACCAAAACGTACACTTAAAAATGACAAAAACGGTAAATTGTATGTTATATGTAATGTTACCACAATAAAAAATAGTCATTAAAACAAGGAAAGGTTATTAATGGCCAGAGAAATTCCAATCTGGTGCATGGAGAGATAGCAGTATTATTTTTTCTTTAAAAATATGAGAAAGAAGAATGAAATATGTATTACTCAATTAAGTCTTTTTCCAAAACAAATCAGCTCCACTGAGATTAAGATTAATTTTAAATATAAAAAAGATTTGTTTGGCCCTCGCTGTTGTAGCTCAGTGGATTGAGCACAAGCCTGTGGGTCAAGGGGTCATCTGCTCGATTCCCAGTCAGGGCACATGCCTGGGTTGCGGACCAGGTCCCCAGTGGGGGCCACCTGAGAGGCAACCATACATTGGTGTTTCTCTCCTTCTCTTTCTCCTTCCCTTCTCCTCTCCCTAAAAATAAAAAAATAATAAAATTTTAAAAAAATGTAAAGATTTTTTTAGTAAATATTAAAAAAATATGTTTTCTTATACTAGTCTCAACACTGAATTGTCCAAGAAGGAACAAACAAACTTTCAGGATTGACTTTGGTGACAGATAGGGATTTCTTATTAATACAAAATGCTCTTTTTCATTAACTGCAATGAATTAAACAGTGGTGACAAGAATGTAGAAGAGGCCTTGTTTTGTGACTTCTGCTCAAGCGACCTTGAGCAAGTCTCTCTGAACTTCTGCGGCCGCCATCACAGGACCTGTCTCACAGGTTTGTCCCAAGGGCTCAATGTGCTGACTGCATGCAAAACCCTAGAACTGGAGCTATCACATGGTAAGTGCTCAAAATGTGAGCTATTAACTTACCGAGTTCGTGTGAGAAGTACATGAAATGACATATGCATACACACTATTGGGTATACAACAGACAATAAATAGTAGCTTTTCTTCCATTTCCTATTAAGTAACCTTTTCCTTAACTCATGAAACCCTTCAGGCTAAACAAGAGAACAATTCAACCAATTCTAACCTGCCTCTGCCTTTCCGCACAGAGGTGAAGGCTGCTCCGTTTGGTCCTTCCTGCTATCCCCAATCCACCCAAATTCCTGCCAGCCTGGCACATTAGCCCCCATGAAGTCATACAGAGATGACAGAAATAGCCTCTGCCACAGGCCTGCTCCTTCCCACATGTCTTTTGGTGATACCATTAGCACCACTCGTAGGGGAAAGCCCAAGGTCCCCTGCAATGAAGAGCCCTAGAGCGGTACATGACCCACAGAAAGTGGTTAATATGTGCTGAATGAATTAGTGAGTCAACGTCCGACTAAAACATACTATAGCCTGGGGGCAGGCCTGCCTATTCCTTCTTTTAAACCTATTTGCCTCAAAAAATATTTGAAACACACACAAACAATTACACCCTTTCTTACTTGGCCCAAATGCCCCACTCCAGGCAAGCCTCTGGTGGGTATCCTACTATGTGTGGAGGAAAATGTCTAGAAAGATATAGAGCAAAATGTTAACATGGATTATCTTCGGGTAGTGGAATAAAACATGAATTTTGTTCGTTTGTTATACTCATTTGACCCTCCCTCCGCCCCCAATGTGTTACTTTTTTTTTTGAACCTGTGTTACTTTTTTTTAAAAAGATTTTATTATTTATTTTTAGACAGAGGGGAAGGGAGGTAGAGAGGGAGAGAAACACCAGTGTGTGGTTGCCTCTCAAGCTCCCCCTGTTGGGAACCTGGCCCACAATCAAGGCATGTGCTCTGACCAGGAATTGAACCAGCAACCCTTTGGATTGCAGGCTAGCAGTCAGTCCACTAAGCCACACCAGCCAGGGCTTAACTTGTGTTACTTTTAAATAGCAAATACAATAATGCCTTTTTGGAAGGGCATTTTTATAATGGGCATCTTATCATTTGTGTCTCATCTGTGTGAGATCATAATATCAGTTTTGACATGGACCATTTTTTCCTTGTTTCCTTATTCTACAGAGGTAGAATTTTTTCAGGGACATTTAAAAAGAAAATAAAACATAAGCTGAATACATATTTTCTCCTTTAAAGTTTGACAAAAGAATAAAGAATTTGATATTTGGGATAAAATTGGACTTTAGTTATAAAGTTACAGTCACCTAATGATTCTTCACTCCAAGGTAGCCAAAGAGAGGGAGGGGAAGGTGAATGGCAGCCTCCCCAAATAGTTCATGTTTGGTCCTTGCAGCCAAGCATCAGAGCTCCCCAGATCAAAGGCCGAAGTAACGCCAAAACCCACATCGCAGCCCCGGCTGACATGTTCCCATTTATATCGTGTCTCCATCCGAGCAGGTTTCTCCCTGTAGCGCAATGAGCGGAGTGTTGCCAGGGCCCCCTCTCCCCATCACGTCAGACACCCTCCAGCCCACTGGTGCACGCTCACTGCTTTCGCTCTGTTCTCTCCCTTCTCCTCCCGGACTCTAAAGGAACCT